AATAATAATGTTTTAAAACTTTCACGAATGATACTCCAGGGTAAAAAACGCGAGCCCATCAGTAGTCACCTGAATCACCACAATCCTTACTCACGGTCACAGTCAAGATAGTAACTGTAAGAATGATATCGAATTCCAGGAAACTTGTAGTCATCGGCGTAAACTAAAATCATCATAAGTAATGACATCTATTAAGCGCCCTTTTCCGTCGGCAGGAAAAGTTCACTTGCAGAAAAAATATTAAATTACAGATTAGTGACTTTCACTATAGTTCGAACTCTGCTTTTACGGAAACCCTAGGAGTTTTCATGTCACACGTTCCACAGTATTTTCATGCACATTCGCATATCATTGAACTCACTGTATGTCGGCAATCACATGACTTTTGAAGAGTTTTCAGTCGACGGTAGCAGCGGTTAGCCGCTATTACCTGGTTAATGACTCGGTGTCTCCTTCACATCAATACGATTGAGGAAAAATATTTCACTGGACGACACTCTTGAATTTAACAGCGCACTGCAGTGTTTGGGAATCGAAATCTAGTATTCGGAACCTGCTGGTCAATAAAACAGTACGCATTGGAGTTCTTATGTTACGAAGGAAAACGGTTCAGCGGGTAGATAACTCAATGAAATGTAATAGAGATGAATAAGAATTGCAAATCGAAAATGAGCCGTTGAGTATAATAGCAGCTAGCTGTGAGTGGCGCGCTGAATGGGTGCCGACGAACGACTAGCTGCTAACCTAAGCATTGTTTCGCGGTTCTATTATCATGACCTTGCTACAGCGGGATTATTGTATCGTTGAACTCTGATGGATAAAAACTTTTTATGGGCAGAAAGTAATGTGAAACTAGATAATTGTTCTACTGGGAAAACAATATTTATTTGTTCGGGTCGATCCGTATTTAGAAATATGAGGGAATGAAAGTGGAAGTTGTGTGTCATGTAATTAGCGGCCTTTCAGCTCGCGCCGAAGGAAAGAATAGATTAGAAGACTAAGAATTTGCGAAATTACACAGTTTACGATGAAAAATCTTTAAAGAGAAACTTTGCATGAAAATTTCCATCAACAGATCTTTGTTAGAAGGAAAGAAACTGTATATTTTTTTCTTACTTCAAGTGTGCAGATCATTAGAAGAACTGTTAAATATATAATAATCGGCGAATTTTTTCCAATTGGATGTGTGGTATAGCGTAATTGGATGTTCAAGAGTTCTCTAGAGTATGAGATTATTTTATTGGAAATATTCTGTCCGTGGAAGCATGCAAATTGTTCAATTATCGCAAAACATGTTGAGGAAAATGCTTAGGGAATATTTGAGATTTCGATAGCCCTCTGGTGAATGACAGTGAAAGAGAGTGGAGTAAAATGAAGTATTAGTAAAGTACGGTGAAGTTTCTCTTTTCCCCCCTTGGGTAAAAACAGTTTATTCTACGTTGCACTATCATAAACCCTGAAACAGTTTATCATTTTGCATCTTTTTTATAGTGTACGCAAGATACAGTCAAGGGTTAAGCGAGGTGCAGCACCTCACGTTACTTGTTATTTTCCAGAGGCAAATGAATATCATATTACAATACTATAACGAACAAATTTCCTGTTGAATTATTTAAATGTATCCTTGAAGTGGCATCATACAATAAATGTCCCTTTGAAGATGAGTTTTTTCTTCAAATTGTTCAATGATTTCCATTTATGGAAAAGTTAACTGTATATAGTCGGAAATCGCAAAAAATATGTCAATCAACAATGGTTAATGATTTAATGACTTCTTCTTGCTGAACTTGATCTTGTTCGAATTCATGAAATTTATATCGAAGAATTTCTAATCAATAATAAAACATGTTTACTAAATAATGTTACACTTCATATCACTTATGAAGATGAATGCGATGCCTTGTCTTTATGTTCATTCTTATTAATCATCGACCATTCAATTTAATTTCAATCTTCTATCAGAAATACTACTATGCGACTGATTGATTGCTATCTTATTTGAAATATCTAAAACTTTTTCGAGAAGAATATGTTATATGATTTTTAAATCGAATCTTTCTGATCTCGGAAAAGTGTCATTTATTAGGATAGAAAGTAATTACACTACATAAGTATCATGAATAGATATTGTTTCTGGTGGCGAAATATCTTCATCAGCAATTATTCACCTTTCCAACCGGTTTTTTTCAACCATTGTTCAAATGTATTTAATGGTGTCACCTTTTGTCCAGTTGTCCAATCTTTGTCTTTGCCATAATAGCCATACTCTTGAAACCATTGGAACATAGCAAATAACTCATCTTGCAAAAGTTTCGGTAAGAACTGAATGTTCGATCGGTATTCTTCTTCCGTTAATGCTTTTGCTGAAGCTGGAACACCAGTAACTTTAGTAAAAACCTTAGGAATATCACTAAATTGAATTGCGTCGCCGCAAAGGCAAATATCTTGACCCACATATTTGTCTGGATCACTCAAAATTTTGGAAACAAGCGGACCAGTATCTTCAATATCCACCATGTGCAATGTTTTCTTCTCAGTGAGAGGCAATGCAAAAATCAACGTACCATCACCTGATTTCTGTGGCTTGAGACTGCCTGACCAGTTCTGCATGTAGAATCCGGGCTCGACATAAATTGCTTTCAATAGCGGGTGTTTTTCCTTGATATAATCGCGTATTTTAGCTTTTTGTACAAAATGTGGTACGTCGCTTAAAAATATTTTGAAATAGATATTGAATGACGGTATATCATAAGAAGAAGACTTACTATTTTCCACTGCTCAGTTTGAGAGTGTCTTCAAGGGCGCTGAATACGAAGTACGGGATTTGAAGCGCAGCAGCAGCATCTGCCATCACTATACCTTGCTGGAGTTCAGCTTCAGGTTTGTCGGGTTGCGCCCAAAAGTCAGTCACAGCGAAAACAGCCCACGAATCTTTAAATGCTCTTTGAACATCCTCTTTCTTGTTGATATCGCATGAGACCATCTCGGTGTCATCACTCAAGCGTTTTACTGCTTGAGCTTTTTCACTTGTTGCATCACGTGTTAAACAGCGAATCTTTTAAAAAAAAGAAGAATTGTAATTACAAAATAAATAGTGTGAGAGTTAAAACTGCTCGAGTTACAGCTGATTAACGTGTTGATTGAAAAGTCAATTGAGTTCTAACTACCAACCAGTTTTAATCGAATGAATTTTTGATAAGTTGAATAAAATTCAATTTAGTTGAAATAAAAATTCTTTTGATTTTATTGGCATGTTCTCAGAACATTGGTGGTAGATGAAAACTGGTCGGAATCTGGGTGTAAGGAAATCGCAAAGATTAAACGCAACCAACCGGTTTCGTTATTTTCCGACCGATTGACGATAGCTCAAGAATCCGAAACGATCGACCTGGGTTTCATCGAATAAATTTAAAAACATATTTCCTTTTGTTCTTTGCTTTAAAAAAGTTAATACTAATGGATTATTCTACAAGTGATTTTTTGTGGTATTTATACATCGAACGCCAACGCAAGCATAACACCTTATGTTGTTTGTTCCACAGATACAAAGGAAAGTTTGAAATGTGAGCATATAAGACTAGTATGCAAAAGCTGAAACTATTCTGTGATCTATTTATCTATCCTCTAAAATAATGATCATCAATATATTTCATAAGTATATATAGTTATAACTATCGTTTTCAATCTAATCAGGTATATTTTGTTAAAAAATTGAATAACTATATGCACTTGTTCTCTGCTCATTCAAATATGTCCATTACTACTTCTATCCGGACGTAAACGTCTTCCTTGCTCTAGGTCTTTTGTGAAACACGAAAATAATAAGTATTTCACTATAGAGCGAGAAAAGCAAACCCAAGCTACAAACCATGACAGGTGGTAGATGGAAAACATCTAGCAACCGTTACAGAGACGACTGAAAACGCATTTGTATCTGTGTCTATTTATATTTATTTTAAACATTAATTACGACAAATTTGATTTATTATAAATATTAGTTATTTTCAAATAATTTATGACTTAATAAATGATAAAGTAAATTATAAATTAAATGAAACGATTCCATTTTTACCTGGTATTGACTACGAACAATGCGAGGAAGTGTAAAAACTGGAGGAAAATCAACGAAAATGAATTCCTAAACATAAGCGCATGTGAATGTATTGATTGGATTTTAAACTTTGGAACGGAGACATCTTTCATCAGAAACGTCTAAACGATTTGAATCGGTTCATGAGTGCATATTTTCATGAGTTTTTGTTCATTGAATTTCCCTCCAGTTTTTACACTTCTTCAGAATGTTGATAGTCAATATCGGGTAAAAATAGAATAGTTTCATTTAATTTATAATTGACTTTATCATTTATTAAATTATAAATTATAGTTATTTATAAATATATATTTATTTTAAAGTAAAAGGAAAATGGCATCCGTACGCATTGGAAATCGTCAAAGGTAGAACAGAATTAATAAAGCTTCCAAGTGTTGCATGATTCATGTAGCTAGGTCTCTGTTTAACGAATGGAGCGAATCCATCGTGTTTCCCACTTTAATTCTACTGGGATTGCGTTGATAACTTATTAAAGTAAAGAACAATAGGCAATATATATCTTCAAATTTATTCTATCGAAGATGCCAATAAAATTAACAGAATTCTTATTTCAATGTATCAAAAATTCATTCGATTTTAAATGGTTGATAGTTTCAACAAGAGTTATTACTTTATCTTTACTGACCTTTATATTAAAGAATTTTAAAAATCTTTATTCTTTGAAAAATAAAGAAAATATAAAGATAAAGATAAGATTTTTTTCTATTCATGAAAAAGATACGAATTAAATAATTAATCAACTATAGTTGATATTTTCTACGATGAAGTCAGAAAAGTTATAAATTGAAATATCGAGCTCCGTAGACTTGGCTTATCTCTTTGTCGAGAAAAAAAATTGTTAAACTTTCTAAACGAACAACAGACAGTCGGGTGAACATTGATCGAAATTGTATGAACAAAATCACATGTTTTTCATGATCAAAGTCACAAATTCATTTTGATCGAGCTGTTATTAAAATGAGGATAGGTTAAAAGAAATTCCTGGAATGAGTTTATTTTAGGACTGTCTGTAATTCTAAAGTTCACTTAGACGATAGAAGCAGCTCTTTTCAAAAAATATGTCATAGAATAAAATAATGAATTTTTTTTGGTAGTAGAGACATCTTCTGGCATAATAAGGTCCTCTTTATCCCTCTATAATATTTAACAGAAGGAATCGATTGGAAGAGAGAGAAAGAGATAGGCTTTTTTATTNAGAACGAGAAAATGACCTAATATTTTTGTTTTCTCTTAATATTTTTTTTCCGCACACTCAGATTTGAGATCGACGAGAAGCATTTAATGAATAGACTTCTTCCAGATGCTATACTTTACTATTATATCATGCGTCTTTTTCTTTTTCGCAAAAAGAAAAAAATCTTATCATTATCTTTATATAGATTAATAAAGTAAAGTAAATATAAAGTAACATATCTAGTAGGGGTAGCACTTTTACTTTCCTTTTGCTTTCTGAAAGGAAGGGAAAAGAAAGGAAAGTTGGGATTTCTCATATTGCTAGAAATTAAAGTCATATATATTATCGACAACACGGGGAATAAAGCAATCATTTTAATATGAGCAACTCTAATTCACCTTTCTTTCCTTAGTTTCCTCGTTGTTTTTTCCGCAGTTGAAACTACTTTCCTACTATTGCTGCTCCATACCTGTTGTTTTTCAGGATTTAACAAATCTTTTCCGTCTTTGCACGGTGTTTCATTTCATCAGGGTTAACTCCAAAGAGCTTCACATTCTTTCTGATAGAATCATGATACATGACATATGGGGTGTCTAGAAAGTCATTAGTCAAAGGAAAATTTGAATATCTCCGTCATATTTTGATTAAATGACCTGGTATTTTTAGCACTCATAAAAACCTGTTCATAGATCATATTCACAAGAGAAACGTTGTCAAAAATTGTTTTGAAGTATTTACAAATGACTTTAACAAAGAACTTTAACTTTAACTAGCTAAGAGAAAAACAACAGATTTATTCTTTTAAGCGAAAATAAATGGCGCATGATTTTTTCGATTAATTCTCTATACTAGTGTTGTTCGATCTCTTATTTATACGTACGGATATATGTATTGTAACTTAGTGTACCTTGAATGTTTCAGTCATAAACAGCAAGAATATGTTGACACAACTTTAATATTGGTTTTTGATAACTCCTGAAAGATTTCAATGCTTTGGTAAAGTCAGTTATAAATATTTCAAAACACTTTTTGACAATGTTCCTCTTATGAATATGTTGATCAAAATATAATGGAAATATTCAAATTTTTCTTTGGCTAATGGCTTTCTGGATACCCTATATATGGGTACGGAATCAATCTAGTCATCGTGTTTTTCCAATTAACAAAATACCAAATGTATGGAGCGAGAAAACTGTTACACATGTTAGAATTTGTAGTTTCGTTTTTCAAATAGAATATATCTGCGAAGATGTTGAGTAGCTCAGGGGCACAAGCAACTAGCTGTCTGAGACCTTACTGCTTGAGTATGTGCACTGGGCGACACTCTATGCTGGATTCAAACGTTTTGGTAGTTAATCCTAAGGAATTTGTGTTAGAATGTTCGGGAAACAGTATTCCCGATCAAGAAACTTTATTATACTCTCAGCTTAACTCTTTCAGTGTGAGAATCGTAAATTAACAAGTTAACATCTGAGTGAACTAGGGTTTTTAGCGAAAGCTTATAAGCCGTGTCGTTAAAGCTGTTACCAGAAAATAATTGACTTTTATACTCAAAGCTGAAAAGGTGTTCATTGAATATAAAAAAATGCTTTTGTATCAGTAGGTATAACTTGCTAGCATCTTGCAGGCTTGAGCTCACTCACGTGCAAATCTTATGACGCGTATTCGCCACAATGAAGAGCAGGAAGACCCGAAGATCATCTGTTGTGATGATTGTTTTCTTTTTGGCCTTAAATCTGTGAATGACAAAGCAAATCTTGCTATGAGATTCAGCATAAATAAAAACCTAAGTTTGCTTAAAACACCAAGTTGATTCAACTTCGAAAATACATAGAATTTTTAGGGGTTGCGAGGCCTGAGACGTACTAGTCAAAAAGAAAAGCAAAGTACTCTGCGGCTGCCACAGCTTCATAAGTTATATTTTGGAATGCAAGATAAATAGAATTGGAGCGAAAACGTCATAAGTTTCCTTTTGGAATAGATTGTTGTCACTAGTGTGCCGATATATATGTCACGGCTCACTGCTCCCCTTATTTCCTTTCCTTCTTTCTCTTTATTGTTCTTCGATTCAGCTCTCTCCTTTGTCTATCTATCGTATATAAGCTTGTGTTGCAAGTAAACTTGTTACACTCTGGATATGTGAGGAAGCGAATTAACATCATTGTCGAGTAGTGACAAGCTACTGCAANCTTTATATAGATTAATAAAGTAAAGTAAATATAAAGTAACATA